AGGGACAGAAAGTCACGATGCCACAGCAGCACTTCCTATCGACGCAACGCAATTCTGCATTTACGATGAGATTCTGCATGGACAACTGTTATTCCAAATGATCTTCCAAACCACCCAGCGTTAAATATTAAGAGCACTGACGACATACAGTTTAAGACCAAGACCAGAACCTCGACTTTCGAGTGCAAAAAAGGACAAGCTCAACAACAAAACAGAACAAAATAGAGCTGCTTGGACAGAATATGTCGTGAGTTTCCGGTTTGGGCCTGACAGCCGGGATCCGCCTCTTGCCGGGTGAGCCTTCTCACGCGGCCTGGCCGCTGGCGGCAGAGAGGCCCCAGCAGGGCGAGCGGAGCAGCCGCGAGCGCCGCCTCGGGAGAGGCACGCACAGGCCGCGGCCCCTGTGCCGTCACCGTCCTGCGGTGGTTCGTCAGGCACGGTTCTCACAGTGCGAGGGAGACCTTACACCACCTTTTCTAGTGCTGCCGATGGTGATTTCTGAGAATCGATGTGGACACGGATGAGGCCAATTTTACAATTATAATGTACAAAGGATGGTTCTTGTTTTGATTATTACATCTGCAACATTTTATTTTCGAATTAAGCTCCAGACCCCGGCCATCCACTTAAAGGGGTATCATAAATCGAAATGCGAAGACATAGAAGCCAGTGGTTACACAGCACTGTCAAAGCCGGATTACGTAATGGCCACACTCCAAACACAGCGAGGGCCCACAGGGCATGTCACAAGGGGGTGCTGCTGCTTCTAGGCTGAAGTCACTTGGCATCACCTCATCATCCAAGGCTCCCAAGGTGTGGTAATATCTATGACTCAGTGAATTGTCCTTTCACTGCTGCACCGATTACATGATGGCCATTAAATGAACTATGAGAGTCTTAGTTCATTTGTTTACTGCTGACAAACAGCACTACAGTAAATACCGGGTTGATTAAGGCAAATCAGTGAGAACCCCTTGTCAGATATGAGCCAAAAAGGTGAGGGGACAGAATATAGTGTCGTTCGCTCAACGGTTCCACTGACAGAAAGGCAGAGCAGGGACAAAAGTTTTATCTGCTGGCCCAGAAGTACACCTGGAGGCGACCTGTAGACCAGGGAGCAGGGCTGCCCTGCTGGCACCGGAAACGGAGGACCCTGGAGAAGGGGCCCAGAGGCGCTCACTTGGGCAGAATGGAAGACAGCGATGAGGCGGGGCAGGCGGGGCCAGGGGCCAGGCATGGGTGGGCAAGCAGCTTGCTCAGAGGCTCACAGAAGAAGCCGGCAGGTGAACCTCAACATCCTCTTCTACAAAATGACATCGGTGAGCCAGACAGTCTGAGACTCCCTCTAAAAGCCACAAGCCCCCGTGCGTATCATGGTCAGGGCTGCAAGGCCAAGTGCGGGCAGGGCGTCAGGCCCGAACCATCCTGGTCCATGGGAGGGGGGGTTGCGGCTCCTCGGGGGCCTTGAGGCAGAGGGAGCAGCAACGGAAGCCCCACCTGGGAGAAGCCCGAGGGCAGACCCGCACGTCCAACTGCCTCCACCTGTCCTCCATGGGAGCGTCCGGAACACATTTGCTGCCAAACGGGGCGCAGCGACACGCAGCTCACATTCCGCCACCACACACTCTCCCAAATGCCTTCACCAGGTTCGCTGCTGTCGAAAACACGCTTCCCCTCCCACGCCCCGTGGACGTGTGGAGGAGGCCCATCAAAGGACCCAGCACGCCCAAGGAAGGCAGGCATGGGGCCCGCACGGGGGAGCAGACTGTCACCACAGCTCGCCGCCACCCCGGCCCTCACGGCAAGGGAAGGTTCTCCCAGGACAAGGAGAAAGGGCAGAAATGTGGGCCCTTTAGAGCGAAACAATGCAAGCAGACACCCAGGTGTGAGGCGAAGGTGAGCTGCAGGCACAGAGGTGGGAGAAGCTGGGTGCCGGCACCTTCCAGCTGCCCCCCAGGTCCACCTCTGTCCCCTGCCCGGTCTCCCCTTCAGTGCCTGAGCCTCACCACCACACCTCCCCACACAGAGGTCCATTTTCAAAGCGCCTCCGAAATTCCGGTCCCTCCGGTCAGCTTCTGCGGAAGAAGCTGCAGCGCCACTGAAGCCGCACTGCGTGTTAACATCCGACAAAAGCTGCCGCTGCCTTTCAGAGGGGTTTGCGTGTTAGAACCATCAGGACAGAAAGCTTTGCCACCTGAGGACTCAACCTCCCACAACAGGCTTGCGGGTGAACAGGATAAAACAGTGCGGGGAATGGGCTATCCATGGGTTTTTTCAACTTTTCAAACATGTCTGGACACCGGCGCTACAACCAATGGGAAACCGTGGCAACCACTAAGATTCCTCCACGCACGCTCTTCTGCTGTGTTTCTTCTGGGGCCTGGAGCGGTGGCTGCGAGAATGTTGTGGCACATCCACACTCAGGCTTTGCCTGTGTCTTCCCATCGGTTTCTTCTTGGTTGGGTCAACTATTGGCATGCCTGCGACATGCCAGCAAAGTAGACGGAGCTTAAATTTATGCCCATGTTGGCTACATAGGAGTGGCCTAAAGACATCATTTTTAGGTTTGTATTCTTGTCAGTCTATTGCCTAATAAAAGGCAATTTTTTAAAAATCAGCACTCTCCACACACCTGGATGTACTCTTTGCTTTTTCCGTTTATCTTTAGCTAGTTATCCGGTGGGCCGGGTTTCTCAACCTGGCACTATGACCCTGTGGGTCAGAAAATGTTGTGCTGTGCATCGCGGGATATCCAACAGCATCCCGGCCTCACCTGCAAGATGTCAGTAGGACCCTTCAGGGTGCCAGGACCAAAACTGTCTCCAAGCATTGCCAAATATTCTTTGGGGGCAAAATCATCCCCATCTGAGAACCACTGAGTTAAAATAAGATTAAAAAATGACAGCCCAGCGCAGAGTTGGGAAGGAAGGTTTAGGGCGGCTTTTAGAAGGGCTGCACCGTGGCATGCGATTCGGAAGGAGCCTCGCTCATCAGCCCCTGTCAGGTTACGCTACTGCAAGCAGGGCATCCGACACCCAAAGGAAAAGCTGATTCACAGCAACTAGTAAAGCGTCTAAGGGAAAGAAAGGAGCCAGGAGAAGCCCCGACGTGAACCTCATCTGGCGGAGACTTCTTCTGTCTCTCTAGTCAGAGAAGGGGCTCCTGTTTCATCACAAAGGTCCTGGTGCTGGACGACGTACACTGGCTAGGACATGCATGTGCCTCAGCCTCGTCTGCCGAGCCAGCCCCGCAGAAAACTGCAGAACTGGCTGCAAACACACATGTCAACAGAGAAGAGAAACAGCACTAACCCGTGCACTGGCTAACAAGCATCTTTTCAGTTTGACTGGATAATGCAAGAGGCTGATAAAGGGTTTAAATTATGGCAGGCCTGGGGAAAAAAAAAAAAAAACCACTAAAGACCTCCATCTTTTGCTCATGGGTACTTTGGAATTCGTACAGACACAACTACTATAAAAGCGCATTTCCCTGTCCTTTCTCAACCAGGTTTGGTGGCAGAGCCTCCTGCGCTTCCTCCCCTCATCCAGGGTGTGGCATTCACTAGCTTTCTGAGGCAGAGAGGTTAGCTGGCCTTTCCTTGGGTAAGCAGGTGATTACATTCGCTGCCTGAAACCCCCGAGGGAAGGAACACATAAATACGATCTTTTTTAAACATCGCTTTGTTGTTCTACTTTATATATTTACACATTCACTGGTTGTTTTTCAATGTGTCCTGGCCATAGGTCGAACAGGCGGCCTTGGTGGGACGGTGGCCTAACAAACTCAGATGCCTGGCCAGGGCTTGGAATTCACAGCTTTTTAACACAGGCGTGTTACCTGCACCTACCCATCACAGTTAAAATACCTCCTGACCCTACTTCTCTCTCTTCAAACCCCAGTGGCGGTGTCCATCGCCCGGTTCCTTCACTCTTCTTCCGCTTTGCTGTAGACCAAGCGGCTCAGGCCAGCATCCCCCGGGGAACTCTCCACACGTGCACATGATCAGGCCCCTCCAGAACTCGGCAGTCGGCGCCTGGGGAGCCGGGCCTGGTAACGAACCCTCCAGGTGGATCCCCCGCAGCCTGACCACCAATCACTTCGGCAGTGTTATTTCTGTAACCACTAACAGACGATTTTTGCAGAAAACAGAAGTGTGTGTAGACTGGCAAACGGAGTCGACTCCGCACGTTACCGAACTTCTCAAGCGCCCCTCCACCCCGAAGCAAGCCAGAGGCTATCGCTTCAGGGAGGGGCCGGCTCAAGGGCTCAAAGCTGGTCGCTGCAGATGGGGGGGGTCAAAGTCCTTCCAGTTTCCTCACTATTGAAACAGAGATCTGTCGCATCTTATTCACAGAGTCCCCCCCCCCCCTTTTTTTTTCTTTTTTTAGCTTTTGGGTAATTCGAGGACGGGGGAGAGAAATGGCTGGGGAGAGCTGCGTGCCCGCGGCCCGGGTCCTACTGGACGGGCATTTGAGGGCGCGACTGGGGAAGGTGTTCTTCTAGCAAAGAACCCCTAACCCAGCCGCGTCCCCGCGGGCCTCCCCCCGCGGGGCTGCCTGCGGCTACAAGAAGAGGTGGCAACTTGGGGCGGGGGACACGCCTCTCCTCACCGCCGGCATCCTCAACGCGACAGGTTGTCCGCGAGACCGGAGCCAGCCGCGCACCCTGCGGCTCCGCGCCCAGGGGACGGGTTTACGGGGAAACTGGCACCCGCAAAACCCGGGGGGCGCCCAACCCGACACCGCAGCGCGGGGGAGGAGGCCGCGGGCGGGGAGCCTGAAACCGCCGAGGGCCGCGCGAAAGGAAACCGCAGTCCCACTGGGTCCGAGGAAAGGGAAGATGGAGCGAGGAGGCTGGGACAGAGCGGAGGGGGCGCCCCGGAGATGGAAATAGGGGGCTGGAATGGAGAGGGGGTGACGTCGCAGGAGATGGAAATGGGGGTCTGGAATGGAGAGGGGGTGACGTCCCAGGAGACGGAGGTGGGGTGCTCCAGAACTCACTGTGTGGGTCGCTCTTCTCTCGGACCCCGTCCACTCGGCCGTCGGGGTGGATGCGCAGGAAGAAGCCCCCGTTTTTGCAGTAGAGCCTCTTGGGGTCCTTGAAGTGGCCGGGCGGGAAGGCGCCGCTGCCGCCGTCCTCCGGCAGGGCGGGCAGCGTGGTGATGCTCCCGGCGGCCATGGCCCCACCGGGGCCCTGCCGGGGTCCCCGAGCCCCTGGCGCCGCGCGAGGAGCCGCCGCCCCTCGGCCTCGGCCCCCGACTCGCTCCGAGGCGCGGCCCCGGCCCCGGCCCCGGCCCCCCAGCCTCCCGCCCGGCGGCGCTCGGCCGCGCCCGCGGGCCCCCAGCCTCGCGCCGCTCGGCCCTGCCCTCCCCGGCGGCCCCGGCGCGCGGGCGGCCGGTGTCCCGGGAGCACGGGTCTGCGCTCGGAGTCTCCGCGGCAGCCGCTCTCCGGAGGGCCCCGACCGGGTGCAGCCGCGGGAAGCGCGTCCGCCGCTCTGGCACGGCCGGGGCTCGTCGTCACCACTTCTACATCCCCGCCCCCGGCACCCACCACCCCACGCGCAGCTCCCCGCCCTCCGCGCGCGCCGCCCCCTGCCCGCGCCGCGCTTTGGGGCCGGGCGCTCGGGCCGCAGCACGCAGGCGCGCGAGGGCGGCCTGGGGCCCCAGCGTGGCCCGGGGCGGGGAGGTGCGGGCGTGGGGGTCCCCCGGCGGGTTCCCCTGAAGGCGCCCCAGCCCAGCCCCGCCCCGCGCCAAGGCACCGCGTTCAGCCTGTCTCCGCGCGGCCGAGCTGCAGTGCGCGGCCGGCCGTGACTCAGCCTTCGGAAGCTTAAACGCAGCTTGCTCGCCGTGGTCTCTCCGGGCCCGCGTTTCAGCGCCGGGAAACCGTCCACCTCCAACAAGCAGAGGGCTCACAAGTGGGGGGTGGGGCCCTGTGTCGGAGCAGGTTTTGACCATTTCGAGTCCTTCAAAGAGAAGGGCACCCAGAACACACACCGTTAAAATTGACGGCACAAGCTGAAGTCGCTTACGAAGGAAAGGAGAGAAAGAGGCCGGAGGAGGGGAGCGGGTTGTCTTCCAACCAAACTAACTTGAATGAGGCGACGTGGGGAGAAGACGACGGGCCTCAGACCCCGATCGTGCCGGACTGTGTTCCTGTCTCGACGTGTTCCCACACTGGCCCTCACCGTGGCTAAGTTGTTGGGCATTTCTTGGAGACGGTAGTTTTGTGGAAATCCCGAGCTCCGGGACTGAAGTCCGTCGCGCTTTGGTAGCCCTCGGTGGCATGGAAGAGGCGCTGCAGATTCGCAAACCGTCCGCCCGTAAAACTTGAGGCGCTGAGCGCCCACTCCGCGCAGAGCGTCGCAGCCGGTGCGGCAGGGGAGCCCCGCGAGGTGGGAGGCGCGTGGGGCCGCGGACACCGCGAACGCCGCCTGGGAGCGTCAAGGCCGGGAACGGGGTGGCGGGGGGCAAAATGAAGTGAGGTTTCAACCGAGGGCTGAGTCGGCTTGGGGGCCGGTGGGGAGTAGGGAAAGCTTCTAGGAAGAGGTGAGAATACAGAAATTCCTCTATTTAGGAACATATTTGGTGTCACAAGATCACCCACGAGTGCATTTGTTCCTAGGACTCCAAGAGGGCTTAGCTCTAGCTGCAGTTCTAGGACATTAGTTCGGAGGAAGCGTGGATTCTTCAGAGCTCGGGCGCCAGGCGTCCTCTCCGCCGGCCTGGTGTGTGTTCTCTGCCGCCTCCCCCTAAAACGGACAGGTGTGTCCTGCCCTGAAAATCCGTGGAAACAGCGCCCTTCCGGGCGATCCCTGCAGGTGATTCCCAAGGAATGCTCAGCGCTCCTGCGGCATTGAGGAAGAGAGTGAAGGCCTGCGACGCAGTCAGTAGACAAGCTGCTAAATTACGAAAATCAAGCAGGTCCAGGCGTGGGGAACGGATTCTGTTCCCGTTTTAACCGTCTGAACTTTCCGGTCCCGTGTCATCAGACCCCCAGGTAACCCTCTGAGGGCCCCCGAGGGCTAAGGAAAGAGGAAGCGACGGTCCTGCGTCCGGGCCACCTGAGCGCCATCACTCCGGTCATCGCAGCGTCGCCGCCTGGGACCAGCCCGGAGGCTCACGACGCAGGACCGATCTTCTCAAGAACGTATTTTTTTAATTTACTATAAAAACGTTTAGCTTTTCTTTCTTGTTTGGAATACTCTGGGCTTGGCCTAGTTGTGTTTGTTTTGCAAACCCCAAGACCCTTGACTAAATCTTTATCACTTATTTCTGGCCAAAGCCTCCAGACTCTTTGAGTTCATTCAACATACAACCTAGTAACTCCTCAAACAATTAAACATATAGTCACCATGTGACATAGCAGTTGCATTTCTATGTATATATACAAAAGAAATGAAAACATATGTTCACACAAAACATGTTACTGGATGTTCATGGCAGCATTATTCATAATAACCCCAAAGTGGAAACAACCCAAAGGTCTATCAACTGATGAATGAATAAACAATATGTAGTATTTATAGAATGGAATGTTTTGTCAGTAAAAAGAAATGAAGTACTGGTATATGCAACAACATGGATGAATGTTGAAACATAATGCGAAGTCAAAGAAGCCAGATAGAAAAGCCCACATATTATTGTATGAGTCCGTTTATACAAAATGTCCAAAATAGACAAGTCCACAGAGACGAAAGCCGACTAAAAGTTTCCAGGGGCTGGAAGCAGAAGGAAATGGGGAGCGACTGCTCACGGGCGTGGGTTGTTCATTTGTGTGAGAGATGAAAAAAGGCTCTGGAATTAGATAGTGATGAATCTATTGAAAAAACACTGAATTATGCTCTACGCTTTAAAATGGTAAATTTTATGGTATGTAAATTTTAATTTAGAAAACTAAAGACATGCATTCTGAAATAAAAATAAAATTTTTCTCCCATAAAGCTGAGAGCAAAAAAGAGACACCCCTAAGGGCAAGGTGACCTGGAGACTTCATGAGCTACCGGACAGCGAATAAATCATTGCAGCATCTTAGAGGGGCAGCTTAAAAGCGTGTGTATCAAGTCCTTTAATTTATGAAATTAAATATCATTGGAACCAGTGTTTTTGGAGCAAGAAATTCACTCTAAAGGGGGAAAAACACACAGACGGATACATTTAACAACCTTGGTGTCCATTACAACACTGATTGTAATGAAGAAAAAATGAGAGAGAATGTGAGTAGTTAAAGGTGAACAAATCAATCTGAACAAACCATGTTCTGTTCCTGCAGACCAATGTGCTCCACGGAGCCATAGAGGCCGTTTTGTAGGAAGGTGCGTAGCGTGGAGAGCTGCTTGCAGGGCGTTGTTAACTGAAAGAAGTGGTTGACAGAACTAGAGGAGTATCTTATTGGTCATATACATTCCCAAACACATCTTAGAATGACATAGAGTAAAATGGTAATAGTGATTGCTTTGGGTGGTCAAACTATTTTATAAAAATAGCCTCTGGCTATTCACTATAACATCAAACATCTAATATTATATCTTGCCTATTTGTTTCCTTATTTATTACCAGTCCCGTCCCTCCAACAGAATACAAGAGGTCCCTCACAGGAGGGGCCGGTTTGCCCCAAACACCGCAGGATCCTTGGGCCTAGTGGTACTAACCAGGGTCCGAATAATTATTTTTTTTAATGAGTGCATACATTAATTTCATTATAAAAAGTTGTTTTTGAAAGCCACATTCTTCATCTACACTATGATCAAGGATCCTGGCACTCCAGATGTGAACTGTCCTTCTAATGAAACCACACCTAACCCATTTCCTTGTGAAATCCCGCTAAAATGCACACGTGACTGTCTTCTCAGACCTCGCACATCAGGAACAGCCTTGTCAGCCCTCCCGTCGTCATGATGCTGACCCTGGCCAGTGGCGCAGGGGGACAGCCACCGCCAACGTTGTGTCCACCGGTGGCGGGTGAAAGTGAGCATGTTTGCCTTCCATCCTCAGGTAGCAGATTCTGGCCTCTCCAGAAAACAGTTCTGTGCTTTAGGTTGATTTTGTGTCCTGGGTTTTAAAAAAACAAATAAACAACAAACACAAAAAATTCCTGAATAGCCAAGGTGTGATTAGGTTACATTTGGCAGTTCTATTTTTAAACATTGTATCATCCTAACCAGATAGGCGGGCTCCAGTCCTTGGCCGTAATCAGGCGTCCGTGGGACTGGACTGATCAAGAGACTCAGCTCCTCACGCCCCCCTTGATTTTGATCAACCACTAAGATCAACCACTAAGCTCAGAAAAATCAAAACCTCATGATATGTTCCATTCCTCGGCTATCTTTGGGGCTTCTCTGAGAACCAGCAGACAACTGCAAAGATTTGTCCTTGTACCTTTTCAAGGGAGGGGTGCTAGAAATTATTATATTTATTCTGACATTCTCTCTCTTTTTTTTAAATGAACTCAAAGCTATAGGAAGAATTGCATGGGAAGAGCTATGAATCAAAGAAGGAGCTCAGCTTCCCACATATCAGTTCCATTCAAATGCATTGTTATTAATAAGACACACGTTACAAAAACGGCCCTTCACAGAAGGTCCTGTTACTCCTTAGAATCTTCATAATCTGCACAGATTACAGACATTCTAATCTTGGTGTCTAGCTGTTCTTCTTTCACATTAGTTTAAAGGGACGTCCTGACTCAATTCAGAGCACTTTTTTTTTTTTTTTGAACCTGTAAAAACGAGGGGGAAAAAACTGTCATCTTAAAGCAACCTCGCAAGATGTGGGAACCTGGATGTACCTTTGGACCAGGCTTGGTTTCCCCTTGGTTTGGGGAAAGCTGTAAGGACGAAGCCTGCAATGACACAAATTTAATGCAAAGACCCACCGCCAGTGCTGCCCTTGCGCACGACAAAGTCATGAGAGGAGTGACACATTGGGAAAGTATGCCACATCTGTGACGTCAGCGTGACTCTTCCAAATATAGAAGAGACCTTAAGTGTCAGTGAGTAAAGATCCATGGACAAAGGAATAAGAACAAGTAGTTCATAGAGAAGGAAATACAAATAATATATAGATAAATACATAATATTTAAATGAAGCAATCTTTTAACACATATAAATATGAAATGTGAGTAAAAAATGCAAATGAAACCTAGCATGAGATACACTGTTCTACCTCTCGAACGCCGCAGTCAGAAAGCTTAGGACACAGCGCTGGAGCACAGGAGGACCCGGCCCTCGCTCCCGCCGGCGGGGGTCCGGCTGGCAGTAGCAAGCAATATGCAATAGGCGCACCTTCCAATCCGGTGACTTCTTTTCTAGGCGTTCATCCTATAGCCACACTCACACGTGGGCACCGAAATGTAGGAACGCAGGCACTTGAGCTTTGCGTGTGGTTGCGGAGTTTGAAAAGAAGCAATTAAAATGGTCATCAGTAGAGGCTAATAAAGGCAATTCTAGTAGTCATTCATTTCATGTGTGTTTTTGAAAGTCTATCAATGCGAGATGTATTTCTACAGTGAACTATTGCAGTTTTTAAAAAAATGAAGTCAATCTACATACATAGCTATGGAATGATGATGTCCTCATCTTTCATCAACTTGTTTTTCCCTCCATATGTGTTGTAGCAAATGTTCCATCTTAGTTAAGCAGGAGCAACCTTGTTCAGCTGCTACAGAGAATTCCACAGTAACGCGTCCATGCCACTCGCGCATTGCCTGGCAGAGGGGCGTGCTGGCCCAACACAGGTCCCTGCTGTTAGACACAGTGCCTTGGCAACCACCCTTGTCCGGGCCCCCACGGGCCCGTTTTTAAGTTTTTCTCGACAGTTGTAACTAGCCATGGGTTTTTGGGGTCCCTGCCTTTTCAGTTCTTAGAGACTGAAAGGCCAACAGAGAGAGAGTCTGTAGGAGAGGATGCTCTACGTGGAGACAGAAGAGAAAGGGTCACTCTCACTTCCTGCTCCAGCG